GAGGATGCTGGTTCGAAGAAATTTGTTGTGGGCAAATTTTTGGACTACAAAATGGTAGATTCCAAGTCCGTTGTCTCTCAAACTGAAGATCTCCAGAAAATCATCCATGACATTCATGTTGAAGGAATGGTGATCAATGAGTCTTTCCAAGTGGCGTCCTTCATAGAAAAATTGCCACCTTCTTGGAAAGAGTTCAAGAATTATCTCAAGCACTAACGTAAAGAGATGACCTTTGAGGATCTCATTGTAAGGCTGAGAATAGAGGAAGATAACAGAAAGAATGAGAAGGGTCTGGTTTCGAGTATGGAAGCCAAAGCGAATGTTGTTGAAGGAAGTTCATCAAAGTAAAGGCCGAAGTTCCAGAAAACTAAGAAGAAGAAAAACACTTTGTCCCTGGTGCGAAAGGCAAAGACTTCAAGAAAATCAAGGGAAGTTGCTGGGTTTGTGGAAAGCAAGGCCATAGGGCTCAAGAATGTCACCATCGAAGGGATCAAGGTCCTGGAAATCAAGGCAACAACAACCGCGCTAACTTGATTAAAAACAATGTGGATGCCTTGGCTGCAATGATTTCTAAAATCAACCTTGTATCTGATCACGCTGATTGGTGGATAGATACCGGTGCAACTCACCATGTGTGTGATGACAGAAATATGTTCTATTCGTACTAGAAAATCGAGGGAAACGAGCAGCTGTTTATGGGAAATGCATCTGCATCTGCATCTGTTGTGGCTGGAATAGGGAAATGTGTTTTGAAATTCACTTCTAGAAAGGAATTAACCCTCCTTGATGTGCTACATGTCCACGATATAAGGAAGACTCTTGTTTCTGGTCCTATCCTTAGTAATAAAGGATTCAAACTAGTTTTTGAGTCCAATAAGTTTGTACTAACTAAAGGGGGAATGTTTGTAGAGAAGGGTTACCTTGCTGATGGATTATTTAAACTAAATGTACTTGTTAATGCTATGAATGAAATAAATAATGTTTTTGCTTATATTGTTGATTCGTCTAATTTATGGCATTTTAGGTTAGGACATGTAAATTTTCGTTCACTTTTTAGAATGCATAATTTAGGTTTGCTGCCCAAAAATGATTATCTAGATAATGTTAAATGTGAGACTTGTATAGAATCGAAATTTGCGAGTTAAAGCTTTAAATCAGTGCATGAAAAGTCCAATGATTTATTAGATTTAATTCATAGTGACTTGTGTGATTTTAGATCATATCCAACTCGTGGTGGAAATAACTATTATGTAACATTTATAGATGATTTCAGTAAGTATTGTTATGTTTATTTACTTCATAGTAAAGATGAGACCTTGGATATGTTTAAGACATATAAAGCAAAAGTTGAGAATCAACTTAACAAGAAGATTAAAGTCTTAAGGTCCGATAGGGGAGGAGAATATGAGTCTCATGCCTTTGCTGAATTTTGTGCCACACATGACATAATTCATCAAATAACAGCCCCTTATACATCGCAACAAAACAGTGTTGCTGAACGGAAAAATAGGACTTTTAAAGACATGATCAATTCTATGTTGAATAGCTCTAGGCTTCCACACAATTTGTGGGGGAAAGCTTTACTTACTGCAAATAAAATTTTGAATCGAATTCCATATAAAACGAGAAAAGAGTCACCATATGAATTATGGAAAGGAAGAACACCAACGTTTAAATTGCTTAAAGTGTAGGGTTACCTGGCAAAAGTACAAGTCCCATTGCCAAAGAGAACAAAATTAGGGCCTAAAACTGTAGATTGTGTTTTTATTGGTTTTGCATCTAATAGTTCAGCTTATAGATTCTTAGTTTTTCATTCCGAAGTCAGTGATATACATGTCAATACTATTATAGAATCTATAAACGCAATATTTTTTGAGGATATATTTCCATACACAATAGGCAAGTCTAATTTATTGAAAAAGAGATTACATGATGATGTATCTGAGGTTAATGACGAACCTAGAGAACATGATGATGGTTCATCCTCGTCTAGAGTTCAAGAAGAAGAAGAACTTGAACCTAGAAGGAGTAAAAGGACAAAAATTCGAAAGGACTTTGGGCCTGATTTTGTGACCTTATTAACCGAGACAGAACCTCAATCATTCAAGAAGGCCATGTCCACTCCTAAAGCTCCATTTTGGAAGGATGCAATTAATAGTGAGATAGATTCCATTATGCAAAATCATACATGGGAATTAGTCGATTTGCCCCCTGGCAATAAACCAATTGGGTACAAATGGATCTTTAAGAACAAATTAAAACATAATGGTACGATTGACAAATATAAGGCTCGTTTGGTAGCTAAAGGATACCGTAAAAAACATGGTTTGGATTTCTTTGATACATACTCGCCTGTAACGAGAATTACGTCAATAGGACTGTTGATTGCTATAGCTACACTCCATAACATGGAAATACACCAAATGGATGTAAAGACTGCATTCTTAAATGGAGACTTAGATGAGGAAATATATATGGAACAACCCGAGGAGTTTGTGGTTAAAGGTCAAGAACACAAAGTTTGTAAACTTGTGAAATTACTATATGGGCTTAACAAGCTCCAAAGCAATGGCATGAAAAATTTGACCATATTATGATAATACATGGTTTTAAGATAAACGAATGTGATAAGTGTGTCTACACAAAAACTCAAAATAATGCTTACGTTATGTTGTGTTTATATGTAGATGATATGCTTATAATGGGAACTAACAAAGAGATAATAAATTGGACCAAAAAGATATTAAAATCAAGTTTCGATATGAAAGATCTTGGATTAGCTGATGTGATTCTTGGTGTAAAAATAAAAAGAAACCAAGAAGGATATATTCTTACTCAGTCCCATTATATAGAAGCTACACTTAGAAAATATGGTCATTTGGAAAGTAAAGATGCAATTACTCCTTTTGATGCCAATAGCAAACTTAAGAAAAATAGAGGTAATGCTATATCTCAACGTGAATACTCACAAGTTATTGGAAGTCTTATGTACATTATGAATTATACAAGGCCTGATATAGCATACTCAGTGAGTAGACTGAGTAGATATACATGCAATCGTGGGCATGATCATTGGGACGCTTTAATTCGAGTATTGAGATACTTAAAGTATACAATGAATTATGGATTGCATTATACAAGGTATCCTCCTGTGCTTGAAGGATTTACTGATGCGAATTAGATATCGGATAGTAATGATACAAAATCCACAAGTGGATATGTATTTACTTTGGAAGGAGCAGCAATATCTTGGAAATCTTCTAAACAAACATGCATAGCCCGATCAACCATGGAATCGGAATTTATAGCTCTCGATATGGTTGGAGGAGAAGCTGAGTGGCTAAGAGATTTTTTGGAGGATGTTCCCATATGGCCTATACCTGTAATGGCAATATGTATACACTGTGATAATTTAGCTGCACAATATCGAGCTAAAAATAGTGTATACAATGGGAAGTCTAGACAAATTAGATGAAGGCATAATACAATAAAGCAATGACTCTTTAGTGGTGTAATTTCTATTGACTATGTTAAGTCAAAAGATAATATTGCGGATCCGCTTACTAAAGGTTTGTCTAGAGAGCAAGTTAAGCATACATCGAGGGGAATGTGTTTAAAGCCAATAGAGTAAAATGAAACTGCCGAACGGAAACCTAACCTAGTTGATTGGAGATCCCATAGTCTAGGTTCAATAGGCAAACTGGTTTGGCTATATTCAAGAAGAAACACATTTACATACCCATTCCTATGATGGAAGAAGTGGTGTGACTGCTGATGATGTAGGATACATTAGTTTAATGATATTGATACTTGTAAATCAAGTGGAATAGTAGCAGCCTATTCTTAATCAATATCACCTATATAAGAGTAAATGTGGGGTCGCATTTATGAGAATTACATGACTACATTCTCTAAAACTCTCATGAATCCAGGATTTGTTCAGGACCAAAAAGAACACAAACGTATGAATATGTAATGTGTAAATGTGGCATATGTTTTGCTTATTGTCTTGGTTTACTGTGGAGATGAACAGTTCAAGATTTTATATTCACTGCGTCATCTAGTAAATCCGATAAGTATATACTAAGGTAGGTTCAAGTCCAAAAGACACTTCTTCTGATGTATGTCATATCTATTGTTTACTCTCATATCTTAGTGTGCCTAGGACCAAAGAGTCGTCTCAATGTGAGGTATTGTTGGAGTTTGAGACCCTCTTGTCCCACATTGGTCAACAGTATTTTTTCACTAGCCTTTATATAGGCTTATTCCTTTTTCTTAATAAGTAGAACTTAGACCATTTGGAAATGGATTGAAGGCTTGGGCCTTATGTTTGTGTGAATTAGGCTTGAAGATTATACTATAATATTAATATTAATTAATCAAGACAAGGGCCTTGGGCCTTGGGGCACTTGGGACCAAGGAATTAAAATTAATCTGATCAATTAGTTTTAATTTCGAATTAAGTTTTTAATTAAATTAATTAAAAACGTTTTGATTAATAGACACAACTCTTTGGAAAGAGTTGTATCTTTTTGGAAAGAGCTGTATAGCTTCAGATACATCCAAAAGGTGTTTGAAGATGTATGAAAGAGCCTATATAACTGGAGTCCTCATTTCCATCAATCATTATCTTTTCTTCTTCCTCCTTATCTTCCGTACAAACTTTCTAGAAAGTAAACATACAAAGCAATTTGCTAGAGTTTTATAATCCAGTGTGGGTTGTAGAATTAGGTAGTTGTATCCTGGTCGAGCAGACGTTGTAGAACCACAAGCACACGAGTGGGACGGAAATACTATTCGAAGAACATAGCGTTTGCGCTAGCCTCTACCTTCAATTCATTCAAGTTAGTATCATATTAATTTTTTTGTAATTATTGTGTTATTGCATTCTGTATTGCAAGTATTTTTGAATAATAAAGTATAAATATTTCGGTTCTGTATTTTTGTTATTTTATTGTTTCTAAATTGTTCTCTAACAAGTTTCACAGTTTGCATTGAAACATGACGAATAAGACATCCGTCTGGCAGCAGGAGCGGGAGCAAGACCATCCCAATTGCATCTTCCTACCGCAAAACCTCAAATTCCGATCACTCACGCCTTCAAACTCGGTGCCGTTAAATCAGCGCCTGTCAATTTCAGGTACCTGAATTTCTGGCTTTGTTTTGTTTTCACCTCTTGAGTCCTGTGACTTGAGATTTCTTGTTTGCTTGATTAGTTGGCTGAAGAACAAGTCGAAAATATGATTGTTGTTTTCGTAGACTGTATTTGCATGCATCTCAATCTTTTTTGTAAATTCTGAATGGTTCAAGTTAACGTCAAGATCAATAATAGATGATGTTAAGTATCCTTAAACTTTAAGAGTTTTTTTTTTTTTTTCCTTTCTTTCTTTCTTCTGATCAGGTTCAAGAAGAGCGTTTTGAGATTGCAAATAAGGGAAAGATGGCATGCTGTGTCTGCATCAAAAAACTCAAACCCTCCTCTGTCTGACTATGGAGATTCGATCAAAGATAAATCGGGCACGGTTGAAAAGGATGATGCTGCCCAAGGCCCTTCTCTGCCAACCATTTTGGCTGGACTTCTAAGGCTTATCGTTCCTTTTCTCGTGTTTGTTTTTGCATCAGTTCTATCTTGGTGTATTGGTTTATTGGGCACTAGGCAATTTTTAGATTGGGCGTTGTCCTCGTCTCGTAAATAAATTCAGAACCTTGTCTACTAACCATTTTGGCTGGATTTCTGAGATTTTTTCGGCCTTTTTCTCATGTTTGTTCTTATCAGTTCAGTTGTATTCTGGTACATTGGTATTTGGATTGATACTATGATGATTTTCCTCCTAAATAAATATTCCATTTCATAAGTTTAATAGAGAAGGATGCAGGGACATTTTGATGTTTCATATGATTGGAATTTGGAATTGAATTGATTTGAGTATTGCTGCGGATTGGTTTTATCATTACCAGTTTATCTGTAAAGGCCGTCTTGACTTCTATGAATTTGTTACATCAAGGGGATACAATGAGCCGATACATTCTCTAACATACCAACCGGAATATATTTCACTTTATCTACATCTCTCAAATCATATTACACAAATCATATTACAAACAACTCGGGAGGGATAACCTATTTATTTTCATTTCTCATTCAGCTTTGGCCCGAAAAACGATCATCTGAATTTGCTTTCGTTTTTAAGCACCCGACAAAAAAGAGTAATACTACAAGCACCAAAATAAATCCACGATTTTATGGGTTCTGTTGAATATAAGGAATATGTAGAACTGGCATCTCATCGTCAGCGTGGTGTTTACTTAAACCCTTATTAGGATGGGCTCAATACACAACAAAATCCTGCCACTGTTAAGTGAAGAATCTGAAATTTAAGAGGAACGACTAGACTAGAAAACAAACATGCACACCAGCTAGCTATTGATCTCGTGGTACTTTTCTTCTTAATGTTGAAAGGTGTCAACTGCTAACTGGAACTTCTCTCTTTTGCTTCTGGGTTATCATCTGCCACTGAAGTTGTAAAATTGCGTCGTTCATCAGCAGTGGCACTAATAACTGGCATCCATACATCTGCAGTACCACTCAACAGTGACTTCACCTGGGGATCTGCAGCCATCGCTGAAGAAATCATCTCATCTACATCATCCAACTTTGCCGATAATTTATCCAACTCCTTGGCTATTTCCAGCTGATCAGATGGCATGCAGATATATACACCAACAGAGAAAAGACCTTAAATATTTATTTCATATGTAGAATTCATGATTATTTTGTTTCTGAAAATGTAAAACATTGAGGAGAAATGAGGAAAACATGGAAAAGAGAATCTATTTTCAAACTACCTCGTCCAGATGCTGCGTTGACTGCGATGGAAGTTTTGTAACCTCCAATCCAAGGGCTTCGATTTTTGAACGCAATTCAACTTCTTCTTCATTGGTCAATGCTTCCACCTTCACAGTATAAGTTATAGAAAAGTTCCTTCTCAGGGGAAAATGAAAGGAAAACATTCATACAAGCATACAAAAGTAGTTCCAAAACCAGGACTACATACATCAGACCCTGAGTTGGCAAAGTGTAATTATTACTAGACAAAAGCATAGTTGTCATCCCATATATCCCACATTTACTTTCTTCTTCCAACAAAATGTGAAAACCATTTTCAATTAGGTGGGATGCGAATGCTTTTAGTATTCGAGAAAAAAGAGAAAAAGGTATAACGAATCACACGGCACATCAATACAAGGCTTTCATGCTACGACATTCACGTACACAAACTCAATCTCCTAACAGAGCTTTGAAAACATTCTATGACTAAATTTTCCAGCTACTGCCCCAAAATTTGGTTACACAAGTGGTTCTTTTCAAATCCTTTATATTAACTGTAAAACTTTAAAATAGTCTCCATGACCCTCAGAGGAAGTTTGTAAGTGTCATAAAAGACCACACGAATTTATTTGCCAGTCATTCTTACTCCATCATCCTAAAGCTGGGCAGTCTTACTCTAACATATGCACCCTCTAGCAAACAAAACAGGTGTAACTGTCATAAAATAACTCAAAAGAATATGCTTACTAGTTTCAAAGGTTAACCAAGGGGATGAATCAATAATTTTCCCAAAAGAACAGATGGAAATTCATTGAAGCATTCAGTGATATTGCTACTAGTGTTAGCCATTTGTAGCAACTAGCAAGTATACGATGATTGGCATCCTCCTTGGTATTTTACCCCATTAGATCATACTCACCTTTTGAAGATAAAGATAGGACAGTCTCTCCTACTAGGTTTTCAAATTCAAAAGAAAAGAATAAGGATTTTGCATCATTACCAGAAAGAAAGAGGAACTGTGCCTCAATTTCAATCTCAAATGCATAATTATTTATTTATGTTTTGCAATTTTCTCTTCAGGATTTCAGTCACCTCTTTTGCAATCAGTTAAGTAGCAATACATTGTGTGTGAAAAAGATGAAGCGCTTGACATCATACAGAATCTCTTCCACCACTCACCGCTTTGATTGGACATCATGTTGAAATGAATCCTACATATGTTCATGACAAAAGTCCCTTTTTCTAAAACAAAAGAGATGTCTACCACATCACTCAGAAGAGACATTGTAATTTTCTTCCGGTCAATGGGGAAGGGGGAATTCGAACTCTGGCCTTAAGTGTGGGGTAAATGTTCACTGCTACCGGAACTATAAGCCCCCACATGGCGTTACGCCATCACATTGCATAACAGAGTGGATGGGCATAACCGTCTTCAATTTTACCTTTAGTATGACACAAAATGGTATTCGCAGGGATTGGAATCCAATTACTCAAGTATTCATGAATTATACACAACAAATGGCTAACAATGATATCTATCAAATTATCAAAGGTTCGTCAAGAGAATCCAAAAAATGCCAAAACTAAAAGCCCCAAGTCACCTAGTAAAACACATTCTAAAAAGAAATTTGAAATAAGAACACCTCAGAACACCATAAACTCAAACACCCAGATCATAAATTTATCAAGACAAAAAGCGGTTTTCTACCACACCCAGATGATTACAACCATGTTTCTATTCATAGTTTTGATAAATTAAAACCGTAAAAGAGAAGTTAGAAACGAGAAGCAAATCAAATCAGGCGAAATTGGAAGAAATAAATGTTGGATTTGCAAAGGAGAAGGTAATAAAACCTGTTGGAGGAGACCAGAGAGGAGCTGAAACAGGTGGGCATCTGGCTTTCCTTCCTCTGCCATGGGAGAGATTCGTCACCCCTCACGTGTGTTCCTTCGGACAGTTTCGCTACCTGGCAAACGGGTGTGATTGTCATGGTCGTGTCAGCCTAATTATATTAACCGATCGTGTTTGTGTTAAATTTGTCCGAGGATTCTCTATCTTTTAATTTCTCTAATTTTTCATGCTTTTGTATTTAAATAATTACGGTTAAGTTATGTTAATATCTTATATTAATTTTTTATAAAAATAATAAGATAAAAAATAATGTGTGAGATGAGGAAATGAAATGAAATGTGAATAAGAGAGTAGAGAATCTCCTTCAAATTTATTATGTTAACAATTTTTATTGGTTTGACCAGATAAACGATCTAACCTGTTATGTTATACCTTTGACCTAGGACTCATTGGCAAAACTATAGAGGCACAAGTAGGTGTGGCCGCGCTTTCGGTCATAAATCGACATTGTGTAAAAATCTGCCCCCTGATTCTTTGAACATGCACTAAATGTTGCTGTTGAGTTGTGCGCTGCACCCAGGCTAAAACGTCGTTTTTTATCTAAAAACAGAGAAAGTTGAAGCAACATCATTTCGGTTTTTTAATATAATATATGTGTGTGTATATAATGTATACACGTAATAAGGCACTACTCGTCCCCTATTACACGTACAAGGCTGGAGTTTCGTGGTCCAAAGACAAACTTCAGACAAAAAGAAGGCATAAGCTTCTGCCATTGGAAGCAGCAGCCAGCAGGCCAACGCTGCCCAGCCACGCGTCGTCACCCTTCACGGCTCCACGCTGTCGTCAGCCACCAAACCCACCATCGCACAGTTAATTTTGAAGTAAATCTCTAAGACCATTTCCAAAAGAGATGCCAAAATTGTTACGTAAGCATACAATAGTAAAAAAATGGCAACAAACTTTCTCCAACCGAGCCTTCAATTTCATAGGTGGCTCTAAATCATTTGAAGGCAAAGTCTTTTGCTGTCAAATTTGATAGCGGATGTCAAATTTATTAAATGATATTTTAATAGATTAATATAATATATGATAAATGTTGTTATGTTTTTTAAATATTTGATTGGTTGCCTTAATTATTGGACTTCACAAAAAGATAAAAAGTTTATTAAATAACATTATTATTTAACATATCGGGTGAAGCAAAATATTGTACAAAATGTCAAATTGCCACATAAGCTATCCACTATCATTTTGATGTTTAAATTTTGACATCTTCCTTAGAGATACTCTAATTTTTCAAATTTAAATCACTAATTAATAATTTAACATGAAATTTTTGTTTAATTGATATAATTTAATATGGTTATTGATTAATTGAATTGGTTTTTTTTGTTAAACAAATGGGCTAATAGTCCGACAAAAGCCAAATCACAAAATAATGTTGCGGGGTGGAGAGATATAAGACAATAATAATTGTTTATAGAATATGGAGCTTGCTCAAAATAGATTGGACCCAAAGGATGAGAGAGGATCAGGTTAACCAACTGATTAACAACAAAATTCATCTCATGATGGATATGCAAGTAACATCCTATGAGGGAGTTATTCGAATAATGATTATTCAAACTAGTTGACGAATTGGCTCACCAACAACATTGAATATGAAACGAGACAAGTTAACATATGAGTAAGACAAAGCTAGAGATGAAGTAAATGCGAAAGAAAGGGAGTTAAATAGGCAAGAAAGACAAGGAGAAGGATTGGAAGATCATGTCCCGATACCTTGACGATGAGCTCCTAATCCAAAATGTTTTTTTGGAGAATTGAAAAACAATCGCGTCATAAGAAGAAGACCTACAAAAGATGAGGAAGTTTCATATACTCCAAGGGTAAAGTGAATAGTATCATGATTGACTTTTTAGTGTAAAATTGTGATTTTTCATTAAAATGAATAGTACCGGAAGCTCTTCGTTAAAATTCTCAAATAAATATTGTAAATAGTACTTGACCTTTATCTTTGTGCTTTTTAAACAAGCGTTAGTTGTACAAAGGCAAGGATTTTACAAAGTAAATAGTAAAAGTAACTTGTTATTCCACTCACGGGTAACAATGCTCTTAATAAATACAAAAATAATCCGTAAACGAACTCTTTCGAGTGTGAAATCGCGCCCGTGGTGTTTGGTGTGTGCTTTCGGGGCATGTAGGCAATTGCACTGCAAGTCGGTCACACATATCGCAAGTGCCTGCAAAGTTGCAATGCATAGTTCATTCGTAGTGCATACACGTGACCCCCACCTACCATTGGCAAACTTAATTGGACCTTCCATGTCAGATTGTCCGGTTACCAGATTTTCCCCCAACCCGCCAATAGTATCCGAATGAGAGGATCCTCATGAAGATCTTCCAATCACCTTACGTAACTTCATCTTACATTGTATGATTAATTTTTATTAAATACTATTTGTATTTAATTTTAAATAAAAAAATTTATAATAGATTTTGAATGCACAATGTACAAAAAAATGACATAATTGGAGAATTTTCTGAATTCTCACAAAAAGAATCAAGAGAGGATCCTCATTCATAGGAGAGATTTTTCAATGTAATCAATATACGGGATGATACATCATGTGTTATTATACAAATAGTACGATATGTGTGTTAAAAAGTTAATAACTTAAAAAATAAAAATTTTCACCACTTCTATAAAAAGACGTGGTGTACCATTCGTGTTCTGATCATAATGAAAAATTCATCCATTCATAGTATCCCGCACATCGAGAAATTTTTAATTGTTACGAGAACACGGTGGTACATCCCGTGTTTTTATGTAAGTAGTGGAAAATTTCATTTTTTTAAGTTATTAACTTTTTAACACATATATCTCATAATTTATATAATAATATGTAATGTATCATTCCGTATGACGATCACATTAAAAAATATCGTCCTCACATGAGAACGCAGAGAGAAGACAGAGAGAAACTAAAGTGATGACGTGGCACCCTTGACAAGTGAGATGTGGGACCCAGCCTTGACTTGGAGAGGAGAGAGATAATTTGCGTCTGCGATTATGCCAGCCTGCCTTGACTTGGAGAGGAGAGAGATATTTTGGGCATGCAATTCTGCCTTATCTTTGCAGCCCCTGTATTATTGATTATTGGTAGCTAGCGCTTCCACTAATCAGAGAAGAGTGTCAGTGTGTCTCTCAGTCTCTCTGTCTCTCTGTCAAGGGTGCATGTGTTTCCCTTAATTTTATTCTTTTTTGGAGACTTGAGCGGATCTCCAGGAACTGGTAAAGCGTATACTTGCTTTAAAAAAAATGCGCTTTTCTTTCTTCTTTCTTCGTCCTTCTTGTTCGCTATGGTCCTCTTCCTCCTGAAACTTCCCAGAAGTTACCCACTTCCTCCTCCCTCAGGACCCTCTCATCATATCATATGATCTTTTGCTTCTGTGGCTGCCCAGACAATCTCAGTTGCTTCTGAGTAGAAGTAGAAATTGGAACAAAGAACAAAGGTAAATCAATCAAATCAAATCTTTGATTTCGCAACATACACGCACATACATATCGTTTTCTTGTTTGTTTTGGTCTAGTAAGCTTTCTTTTTTTCCCGCAAAGGCAAATGCAAGGGCAAGGGCAAGGTGGTTCGTTTCCTTTTGTTATCTTTTGTCTTTCGATTTCCCTTTGTTTTGCTGCTGCTAAAGAGTAAAAACACGACTTGGATTGCATATTTCATATTTTGTTCAGGGTTTGGAGGTTTTTTATAGAAAGTTGGAAACTCTACAGAAAACAGAGAGTTATACTGTTCAATTAGATTTAGACTCAACTTCATGGTTTCCATGGATGGCAATTTTTGAAATTGTTCTCTGCTTGCCTGAACCCATATTTACTTGGCATCCCAGTTGGGATTTCAGTTCAGTCATACGGATCGTTATGCGATTAGGAAATTATGGGGCTTTCCTCTGCTCCTGATATATGCTTGTGTCATTGATATCAACATGTAGTCAGGGTCAGGTACACAAGTTAGTTTGATTGGTCTTCAGGGCTTAAAGTCTAGAGATGGCATATCGAAGAGGAGGGTTTGAAGGGCAGCCGCAGAGGCGGATTCTGCGCACCCAGACTGCTGGGAGTTTTGGAGAGCCCATGCTGGATAGTGAGGTGGTGCCTTCTTCCCTCGTTGACATTGCTCCTATTCTCCGTGTTGCAAACGAAGTTGAGTCCAGGAATCCAAGAGTTGCCTATCTATGTGAGTTGCACCTTTTTTTCTCAAGTTGTATGTTTGTATTCTATTATCCGTCTTAACAATCGTGCTTGTTTTGGCTTAGGTATCATTAATTCTGATCAATCAGAGCTCATGAAACGAGTTGGATATGTTGTAGTGTGGACTATATTCCCATAGTAACTGTCGATAATTACACACGATTCAAATGTTAGGTTTTGTCCAGCGTGAAACGAATACATGATGAATTTGGTTGATACATGTACTACCTTGTTTTTGATTGATGAGGAATCCCTAACCCAGGCAAACCCCAGGTATGCCACCCATTTTGGGGGGTGGGGGGCATACCTCAGTTACATGGACTGTTAACTTGTTCACTAAGCCTTCTCCCTTGGAGTTTACAACCACCTCTTTTTTCTTTAACTTATTGTTTACAGTGCTCAAGGCTATTATTATTTATTGATGAAAAACTTTCAAAACAGGATCCAGCATTGTGTGATACTCAAGTGGTTTAAATGTTGTCTCACACGCCGCAATGCTGTATCCTGCTAGAGAAATTGATTCTGTGTGTGTGTGTTTAGGGTAATGTTCTCTTGCTGGATATCTGTCATATTACGTATTGTGTTGCCAAAGTGTCAATTTTAACTACACATTTAAATCACATTCCACCTAATTAGTAGTCTAAATTGACACTATTTATATACATATCTCTTGTTTTTCTAACTGGTGAACCCTCAGTCTGTTTTTGCTATTTTCCCCATAAATTTTGTTGATATGACGATGTTTTGATAAACCCAATGGATTTTTTATGTACTTTATTATATGTTTAGGAAACCAATCAATACTAACGTCTATGTTGGAATTAGGTCGGTTCTACGCCTTTGAGAAAGCTCACAGACTAGATCCCACATCTAGTGGACGTGGTGTTCGCCAGT